TCAGTCACCAACAACAGTTCTTTTCAGAACTACACTCACCCGGACGATCACACTATACGAACTACTGATACTCCTGGGTTCAAACCATTTACTATGTATGAACATAAGTTTCCTTTGATTGATGAGGTTGACTGTACTTGATTAATCCTCCTTAAGAGTTCTTTACAGCGACGTTTTCAAACTCAACACGTGAGCACGTGAGAGTTCCTTATCGTTGCTTAAAATCTGTCAGTGATGTCATCTCCCTAGTGGAGACGGTTCAAGCGAAGCGAAGCTACCTACTCATTCCCATTATAAGATTAATTAGACAAGCCTTCAGGATCAGCCGTAGTTGCATTTTTCTCTGTTGGAGTGGAAGCATCGTCTGATTAATCTATGAGAGAGAAAAAGCAACATGTTTTCTTGTGAAATAGGATTCAGCTATCGCTCCGTGTACAAGTACTCACTCTTTGCAGAAAACCTAGATGGAACGTATATTAACTCGAACAATGGCACGAATTTCTGAAACATTAGCTAATTTAACCGAATTAAGAGCAGCACTTGAAAGATAAATTCTGAATATTTCAGATGACTCGTTCCAATTAGGAAATGTGCAGCATTCCGGCCAAGAAAGCCTGTAAACAGGCTCCCTCTGGTAGGGTCTGACAGCGGCTAGAATGGGGTCAAGAAGGAACTGGCGCCTATCGTGTACTTAACCCAAATATACACCATTACTCACTCTGTGTTTCATTTGGCTATTCAAGAAGAAAACATAATGTGAAAGAATTCTTCGCCTCATCCTCGACTAGAGAGCCTGCTCACAGGCTGACCAAGACTGCCGTTAGGATTGAGAATCATTTCTAAGATTTCCACATTTTCAGCTAAATAACAAACGCCTTAAAGAAACTACAAGATATTACAAACTTATAACTTGATGCCAAAAAGGTTGGGAGTCTAATTATTCGCGCGGTTACTCTTACACTGAGCGTTAATCAATTTTAACAAGTAATAAAGTGTAATTCAAGATAATTATTTTGCTCATTTTTCTTTAATTTACCTTCCTCATTTGATTCCTCCATGTCGCCCAACTCTTCAGTCTGACATTTTATCCACCAGCTAGAGAAGGGAGGGAAGATACTATGGTTATTGAAAGGCGTATCAGGCTATTGGAAACGGGTTCGAAAAGGCATATGAATAAGGCTGGTGGCAAAACATTGAATTAGTTAGGCACTTTGTCATGTTATCTTATTGTCAATGTTCATAAATGAAACATGATCGCGTTTTAATTAAAAGACCATCAAACAAACAAGTTCCACTAGAAATTACAACAAAACGACAACAGCAAACTATGGTAATAAAGGGTGCGTTCCTTTGAGATGATCTGGATCAGGATGAATAATCTAAGATTACTCAGATCATGGTACATCAAAGGAACCGATGAATCCAAGACCAGAGTGGCTTAATCGGTTCCTNTCGACTAGAGAGCCTGCTCACAGGCTGGCCAAGACTGCCGCTAGGATTGCGAATCATTTCTAAGATTTCCACATTTTCAGCTAAATAACAAACGCCTTAAAGAAATTACAAGATATTACAAGCTTATAACTTTATGCGAAAAAGGTTGGCAGTCCAATTATTCGCGCGGTTACTTTTACACTGAGCGTCAATCAATTTTAACAACTGATAAAGTGTTATTCAAGATAACTGTTTTGCTCATTTTTCTTTAATTTACCTTCCTCATTTGATTCCTCCGTGTCGCCCAACTCTTCAGTCTGACATTTGATCCACTACCTAGAGAAGGGAGGGAAAAATACTATGGTTATTGAAAGGCGTATTGCTACTGGAAAGGAGTTCGAAAAGGCATATGAATAAAGCTGATAGCAAAACATTGAATTAGTTAGGCACTTTGTCATGTTATCTTATTGTCTATGTTCAGAAATGAAACATGGTCCCGTTTTAATTAGAAGACCATTAAACAAACAAGTTCCACTAGAAATTACAACGAAACGACAGCAACAACAACAGAAAACTATGGCAATAAAGGGAACGTTCCTTTGAGATGATCTGGATCAGGATGAGTAATCCAAGATTACTCAGATCATGGTACATCAAAGGAACCGATGAATCCAAGACCAGAGTGGCTTAATCGGTTCCTTTGATGTACCATGACTTGAATGATCCTGATACAGATCACACCAAAGGGACGCACCAAAAGACAACAACAACGACAGTTCATCAACAATAAGACCAAATTAGGGCTTCGTCTTACATCGATAATTTCTTGATCGCTGGGCATCTCGTCTTCTGCAAAAGTCATTTCAAAATGTTTTAAGTTTATGGTTACAGNGTTCATCAACAATAAGACCAAATTAGGGCTTCGTCTTACATCGATAATTTCTTGATCGCTGGGCATCTCGTCTTCTGCAAAAGTCATTTCAAAATGTTTTAAGTTTATGGTTACAGATTTATTAAGTGTATTTCAACATAATTATCTTGATCATTCTTCTTTTATTTACCTTCATCTTTTGATCGTTCCTTGCCGTCCAGCTCCTCACTTGAAGAGCTATTCTGGTCTGACATTTGATCTACCAGCTAGAGAGGAGAGGGGAAGACATTATGGTTATCGACAGGCGAGTCATGATACTTGAAAAGGGTCAGGGAAAGGCATATGAATAAAGCTGGTGGCAAAACAGTGAATAAGGTGGGCACTTTCTCACGTTATCTATTGCCGATGTTCTTAAATGAAACGTGGTCCCGTTTTGGTAAGAAAACCAATAAACTAGCAAACAAAAATTAATCAAAACCTCTTCCCAATGGTAGCGAATAAAAAAGTTCTACTAGTAATTACAACAAAAACGATAACAATAACAGCAACAAACTATAGCAATAAAGGGCGCGTTCATCTGGGGTGATCTGGATCAGGATCAGTGATGCAAGATTACTCAGATCATGGTGCATCAAATGAAGGAACCGATGAACCCTAGACCAGAGTGGATTCATCGGTTCCTTTGATGTAGCATGATTTGAGAGATCTTGATCCAGATCACACCAAAGGAACGCATCAAAAAACAACAACACAATAAAAGAACAAATTAGAGCACTATCTTACATCGATGATTTCTTGATCGTTGGGCTCCTCGACTTCTGCAAAAGTCATTTCAAATTATCAAAAGTAAGTTTATGGTTATGGATAAATACGTTACAAATTAATTCATCATAATTCCTCTTCTAAGGGTCAATCAATTTAAACAACCAGTAAAGTGTAATTCAAGATAATTATTTTGATCATTTTTCTGTTATTTACCTGCCTCATTTGATCCCTCTATGCCGTTCAACTCTTCAAATGAGGAGCTACTCTGGTCTGACATTTGATCTACCAGCTAGAGAGGAGAGAGGAAAGCATTGTGGTTATAGACAAGTGAATTGACACTTGAAATGGGTTAGGGAAAGGCATATGAATAAAGCTAGTGGAAAACAGTGATTTAGGCGGCGCTTTTTCAGGTTATCCCTTGTCGATCATTGTTCTTAAATGAAACTTGGTCCCGTTTTGATTAGAAAACCAATAAACTAGCTAACAAAATTTAATCAAAACCTCTTCCCAGAGACAACGAATAAACAAGTTCCACTAGAAATTACTACAAAACAACAACAACAAACTGTAGCAATAAAGCGTGCATTTATTTGGGGTAATCTAGATCAGGATCTGTGGGCAAGATCACTCAGATCATGGTGCATTACAGGAACCGATGAATCCTTGATCAGAGTGGATTCATCGGTTCCTTTGATGTACTATGATCTGACTGATCTGGAATCACTGATCCTGATTCAGATCACACCGAAAGAACGCACCAAAAGGCAACAACGTAAACAACGACAGGCCAACAACAATAAGACCAAATCAAGGCATCATCTTACATCAATGATTTCTTGATCGCTGGGCATCTCGTCTTCTGCAAAAGTCATTTCAAAATGTTTTAAGTTTATGGTTACAGATTTCTCTGATTTCTTGCTTTTTCAACACTCTTTCCTTCCTTACCCCTGTTCCCCGAGAGACATCAAAATCTGATCAATAATTAAATAATGATAATGAAAAGATTTTCCTTAACATCAGTTAATTAACCAAATTAAGAGAAGTACTCAGTTCAAATTCGCACACACGAGTGGGAACAGGAAGAATTGCTAAATGGAACGGAATATTTCTGATGACTCGTTCAAGCTAGGAAAAGTGCAGGACTTCAAAATAGCGGCCTGCGGACAGGTCCCGGCTCGCAGGGTCTGGCCGCGGCGGCGCGGCTGGAAGAGCCAAGATGCAACTGGCGCCTATCGTGACTTCGTACTTGGCCAATAACTCATATATACATCATTACTCACTATGTGGTTCATTTCGCCGCTTGAGAAGAAAACATAATGTGAAAGAATTCTTCGCCCATCCTCGACTACAGAGCCTCTTCACATGCTATCTAAGACCGCCTCCAGCTAAATGATGAGCGCTCAGTTTTAAGAAACTACAAGCTTATAACTTGAAACGAAAAACGAAGGAGCGTCCTAATATTTGCACGTTTACTTTTTACACTAAGCATTTACTTATTAAATTTTTACTAACAATCAAGAACAATTCAAGATAATCATTTTGATCATTTTTCTTCTATTTACCCTCCTCATTTGATTCTTCCATGCCGTCCAGCTCCTCAGGTGAAGGTCGAGAGTCTGCAGCCATTCGATCTACCAGCTAAAGAGGAGAAGGAGAGACATTGTGGTTACAGACAGGCGAATTGGCGCTGGAAAGGGGTTAGGGCAAACAGTGAGGTGGGTACATATAGGTCAGCTCTCAGGTTATTTAGTGTTTATTGCAACGTAGGGCGGTTTTAATAGGAAAACCGATAAGCAAAAATTAATCTTAACATATTCCCAGTGGCAGCGAATAAATAATTTGCACTAGAAATTGCTATAAAAACGACAACAACAACAAAAAACTATAGTAATAAAGAGGACAACAACGACGAGTCAATGACAATAAGACCAAATTAGCCATCATCTTACATCGGTGATTTCTTGAGCGTTGGCCAGCTCCTCTGCTGTAATTGTCCTTTTATGGTTACAGATTTCTCTGCTTTCTTGCTTTTTCACCAGTCTCTTCGACTGCACCCCTGTTTCCCGAGAGACAACAAAATTTGAATTCTAACCACACCATGATGAATACAATATTTTCTAGTCTACCTCTGCGCTATTTGCGCTATATAGCAAAAAGAAAAAAAATCTGCCCTATATAGAGCAGCTGGCGTGTAAATTACGATGATGCATAGGGAGAATCACTATAATGATCTTTGTCAAGCTTTCAAGCTATTAAGTGACAATCCCGAAACGCAGTGGACTTCCACTTAATGCATATAATGGCGACTGTACTGTTAGTCTTCAATCAACTTCTTCCTAATTATTACCCTCGGCTCTGCCTTCAGTTCCACTTTCTTCTGCACCTTCGTCTGCGAATTTTTCCAGTTCGGGTTTCTCGACATGTTGGTCTACTGCCATAGCATTCCAAGCCGCCAAGAACCAGTGTGTATGAGGAAAAGGGAACATCCCTGTAAAATAAAGTAGAAGACACTGTATGAAAGCTCGGGCTAAAAGGCATTAGTTATGTAACTCGAAAAAGTTGCCGAAACACTCGTCCTTGGCTCCAGTTCCACAGTATTTCTCGCGTTCTCCCAAACCTGCTTTCACTCGTTCTTTCAAAACTATACGAAACATGGTTTTTATTTATCGACGCCAACACAGGTGGCAGCAGAGAATACAACAGAGACGCGGCAGCCGATCGAAAAAAAAAAAAAAAAAAAAAAA